TATCTGATAATTTTCCAGATTAATTTAGAATCAGTGCCATTCTGTGACATGCTCACAAGATTAGGACTGCAGCTTCCTTTTACCATATTGTAAGCATCCTCAGGGCCCGCCAGGGCATTTTGCTGCTTGGCTGAGACAAAGCAGTGAATGACTCACCCCACAGACCCCTCTCACTCAAAAGTACACAGCACACAGAGCTAGTTGATTTATTTTGGGGCAGAAAGTCCCACAGGAGTCTGTTTCCCTCTGAGGCAGTAAAAAGACAATATGAAATTAAATAACTCTTTGCTGCCCTTTCATGATCTCCCAGATTCGCTGCCTGAGCTGGTGACTTCATTCTGTCTAATGGTAGGACAGGCCCTGGCCATTCTATTTCTATGAAAAACACTGTGTGTGCGTGTTTGTGTGTGTTGTGCAGACTTGCATTGCTTTATTCCCACATCCAACACAGATTCAGAGCAATTTTTTAAGCAACGGGATATTTACTATGCCAAATCCTAAAGCATATTCTGATCCCCATCACAAGTCGCCTTTGTTTGTCATAAGAGCATTAGTTTAAATCTTCCTTACAACCGCTCAACTTTCTTTTTTCCTCTCATGGTGGGTTCAGGGCAGTGCTGAATGTTGCCCTCTTTATTTCCAGGCCTTATGAAATATTCTCACGGAAGCTGAACTCCTGGAAATGTTTAACTCAGACAGCACATGAACAGTCCCATTGTCTTTCCTAGGTTGATCTCAAAAAGAATGCTCAAGGGCCCGTGTTGGTTTTTTAGGCCCTGTGTTAAATTATATAAACAAATCCCATGATGCAACAGGAAAGCTTGACCTGGCATTGCTGGGAGTACTGGAATGGCAAGAGAAACAAAAGGATTGCAAGGAAAGGATTAGCGCCAAGACGGATGCTTTAGATCAGGCCTGCTGCAACTTGTGAGCAGGGCTTGCTGAATTTTATGCAGTAGCCTACAAAAGCTTTCGACATGTTGAATTGGTTAGTCTTTCAGATGCCACAAGAGACTTCCTTTTGTTTAAAAAAGACTAGAAGTCATTGCCAAGGCAAGTTGCAGAATACATGAATTGGCCAGATGCATTTGACTTGGGTATCTCACAACTTGCACAGTCTTGCCTTTGACAATCGGATCCTTCCACATATTTTGGACCACAATTCCCATCAGCCGCAGGCAGCGCAACCATGTTGGGAGTAGGTAATAAGTCTGTGCTGGCTGTGGGTGATGGGAGTTGTAGTCCTAAACGTCTGGAGAGTGCTCAGTTGGCAACAGCTGTTTATTCTCACGGAAACATTGCATAAAACACAGGCTGGACAGAGGAATCGCCTCTACCTTTTAGACTTTTTACCATATCAACTGGTTCAGGTGTATGATCAGGATTCCTAGTTGAGCAGAAGTTGCCCACTTCAGATCTTTCTGCTCAATGCAGGAAGGTCAGGGCAAAGCTTGTAGGATGGGGATATTGGGGTGAAGTGTACCCCCTGTGCCTCCTACCCACATGCCCAAATGGGGCTAATGTGATATTGTTATACAGGGCAGGCACAAACTCTCCAAAACTCTCCAAAAGGGAAGAACAGTGTTGTGCTAAAGCACACCAAGACCAGACAAAAATACTTTTAATTCCCAGCAGCCAGCTTAAAATGTTTAGCAGCTATATCTATACAGAAGTGAGGATATGTTTAAATTCTTTTGCATCAGCCTCCTTTTTTTTTTTACTTGCCACGGGTTTTTCTAGTCCTGGTGGTACTGTTCTCCCTATCGAGCTATACGTCTCCTTTGGGGTTTGCCTAAGTAACTGCGTTTTGCTCTGGTGTCTAAGAATATTCTTTAAAGAAGGGTGCCTGTGGTGATCACACAGGGTCCCCGGACATTTGACGGTCTATTGCAGTGTTTCCCAACCTTTTTTGGGCAAAGGCACACTTGTTTCATGAAAAAAATCTCGAGGCACACCACCATTACAGCCCCGTGACGTCAGCGCGCAGCGTCACGCCGGGAGGGACGCACGAAAGTGTAAGTTTCAATTTCCCCCCCTCCCCCTTGCCTTCCTTCTGTGCCAACCGCCAAAAAGCCAAGAAAAAAGCCAAGACATTAGGGCAGCAGGTCGACACGGAAGAAGCTCCTACCTAAGGACAGGTGAGACGGCCGTGTCCTCTTCTGCCACACTTGGCAGCCCTGCCTCACGGTCGTGACTCCCACCCTGATTTCTCCCCGCAGGTCGAGCGGCACAGGCAGCCCAATGTGTCCAGCCCAGACACAAGCCCCGCTTCCCCACTCTAGATCCTGAATGCGACCAAGTGCTCTGGACTCCCGAGCAGGGTGGGAAAGAGGACTCGCATCTGGTAGCCTCCGGGCTCCTCGCCTGCTCGAGGGATGGCATTGCAGGCAAGCTGCCGGCCGTCGCCATCGCCGCCCCCTCATGCGAGTGGACCTGCCCGGAGTGGTGGGCCGGGGGAGGCTCGCTCTCTGTGGGGATGTGGCCCGCACGCGCGGCCCCGCTTCCTCCTGCCCAGGGCTGAGCTCCTTACCCGCGATCTCGGTCTCGCGCACGCGGATCCCACTTATTCTGAAGCTCGCGCCACTAGCCGGGGCTCTCACACCGTGCCAGGGCGAGGCGGTGTGGCCCACTGACGTCATCGCGGCTCGCCGCCGCCCTCGACTTCCCTGTTCCCTCCCCTCCCTCGGGTCGCCGTGGTTACCGAGGACTGCAAGCTGCTCGGGCGAGCGTGGGGCATTAAGTGGGAGAAGGAAAATTAAAATTAAAACTCACCTGAAGGCCGCCTCTCCGGATACAGTGGTGCCTCGCAAGACGAAATTAATTCGTTCCGCAAGTCTCTTCGTCTTGCGAGTTTTTCGTCTTGCGATGCACGGTTTCCCATAGGAATGCATTGAAAATCAATTAATGCGTTCCTAGGGAAACCGCCTTCAGACCAGGTCCGGGGACAGTCTGTCCCCGACCTCTTCTGAAGGCTGGGGGGGGGGGGACAAGGGCTTTTCTTCCCACCCCCAGCATTTTAAAAACCCCGGGACAGCGGAGGACTTCTCCGCTGTCCGGGGCAATCTTAAAATGCTGGCGGGCGGCATTTTAAAATCGCCCGAGACAGCGGAGGACTTCTCCGCTGTCCGGGGCGATTTAAAAGCCCCTGGGAAGGCAGGCAGGGGGGACAAAGATTTTCGCCCCCCGCCCGCCTTCAGAAGAGGTCCTGGACCTCTTCTGAAGGTGGGCGGGGGCGAAAGTCTTTGCTCCCCCTGCCTGCCTTCCCGGGAGAGCGGAGAAAGGCAGCGCGTTTCTCCGCTGTCCCGGACGGCTTTTGAAGGCAGGCTTTTGAAAGCCGTCCGGGACAGCGGAGAAACGCAGCGCGCCCTTGCCGCTGCCCCCCGACTTGGCTGGAAGGCTGGCGGGGGGAGAAGCCTGCTCCTCCCCATCGCCAGCCCCGCAAACTCGGGGGATAGCGGGAGAGGCGCAGCGCGCCCTTGCCGCTCCCCCCCGACTTGGCTGGAAGGCTGGCGGGGGGAGAAGCCTGCTCCTCCCCATCGCCAGCCCCGCAAACTCGGGGACAGCGGGAGAGGCGCAGCGCGCCCTTGCCGCTCCCCCCGACTTGGCTGGAAGGCTGGCGGGGGGAGAAGCCTGCTCCTCCCCATCGCCAGTCCCGCAAACTCGGGGGACAGCGGGAGAGGCGCAGCGCGCCCTTGCCGCTCCCCCCGACTTGGCTGGAAGGCTGGCGGGGGGAGAAGCCTGCTCCTCCCCATCGCCAGCCCCGCAAACTCGGGGGACAGCGGGAGAGGCGCAGCGCGCCCTTGCCGCTCCCCCCCGACTTGGCTGGAAGGCTGGCGGGGGGAGAAGCCTGCTCCTCCCCATCGCCAGCCCTGCAAACTCGGGGGACAGCGGGAGAGGCGCAGCGCGCCCTTGCCGCTGCCCCCCGACTTGGCTGGAAGGCTGGCGGGGGGAGAAGCCTGCTCCTCCCCATCGCCAGCCCCGCAAACTCGGGGGACAGCGGGAGAGGCGCAGCGCGCCCTTGCGCTCCCCCCGACTTGGCTGGAAGGCTGGCGGGGGAGAAGCCTGCTCCTCCCCATCGCCAGCCCCGCAAACTCGGGGGACAGCGGGAGAGGCGCAGCGCGCCCTTGCCGCTCCCCCCCGACTTGGCTGGAAGGCTGGCGGGGGGAGAAGCCTGCTCCTCCCCATCGCCAGCCCTGCAAACTCGGGGGACAGCGGGAGAGGCGCAGCGCGCCATCCCGCTGTCTCCCGACATGGTTTGGAGGCTGGCGGAGGGCTTCCTCCTCCCCCAGCCCCGCAAGCTCCCAGAGCGATGCCAAAGCTGCGCGCAGCTTCGGCATGGCTCTGGGTCCCGTTCTGGGGGAGGGGGAAGCTCGGGCTTCCCCCGCCCCAGCCCCACGCCTGGCGGTGGGGGAATAATTTTTTCCCCCTTTATTCCCCCCTCCGCCAATTTTTCCCACGGCACACCAGGCAACGTCTCGCGGCACACTAGTGTGCCGCGGAACACCGGTTGGGAAACACTGGTCTATTGATCCCTGTGCCACCACTGTGATTGCTTTCTTTGTTGCCACCAACCCGTTTCTCTTGGGCACCCACGGAGTCCACGTTGTTAACATTAACAAATAATCAAGTTTATTTTTATAAGCATGAACAAGTTTATGGTTTCAGTTAAGTTTTCTTGTCAGTTTCTTAATCTTAGTTTCTTTACTGTCCTATACATTCCTAACAACTTCAAACTGATTATCCCCACTATCTATCTGACTCCACCTAACAGTTCCTCACACTCTCTCTCAACACAACTCGACCAACCCACAGACTTATCCTCCCTCTTCCTTCTCCAACTCCCAACTCTCACTCTAACTCCTCCCCTTGGGTTCCCACTGGCCAATAACTTCACACTTATTTAACCCTTTCCTTATGACCCACCTAGGAGGCAAACGCCACAGTGCCTCTCAATTTATCACGCTGGAGAGGCATTATAAGCAAATGGCTGGTCTTTTTACCTGTCATCACAGTAGGTGAATTTCATGTCCATGCTGTGACGGCTTAAGAACGTCTTGCTGTCCAGGGGGATGTCAGTATTGGAAGGGTGTTGAATGGGTTCACACATTAATATCAGGCAAGACAAGAGAGGCTCTTTGTAGCCACAGAGAGCATGAGGAGGGCATGTATTATAGACCTTCAGTTGTCCAGTGCAGTGCAAAACCTGAAACATAAGGAAACTATTTGTACTAATACAAGGGTTTTGTTTTTTTTAAAAAAACACCAAAGCAACTTGAGTAGATTAAATCTTTCAAAAAACATACGTTAAAAAAAAGTACCTTCCATGTGGCCGATTTTAGATTCACAGTTCTGCCTCTGTTGGTAACAGTGCATTTCATTCTCATGAAGAAGTCCCGCTCCATGGTCACCTCTTTATTCTTTTTCCCAAAGCCTGGACCTGAGAAAAATGTGGACAAGATTCTTTTTTAAGGCTTGTTTTGCAGTTTCCGTTGCATGCTCTAGTAACCAGCCAGCAAAGTTATTTCAGAAGGACCAGAGTAGGAACATTCCCAAAACCGCTGTGATCAACTAGCTACACACTTTGAGGATAAAGTTAATCGATTTTGGGGTGACCTTGGCAGTTCCAGATGAAGTCCCTAATGCCAAATCGCTGATGTGGTGTGAGATCAGTTTCAGCTTATGCAGTCTGCTGATGTGAACAAGGTGCTGGCAGCTCTATGTCCAACCACATGCCCTCTGACTCTCTTGGCTTAGTCAATCTAGCAGAGGGGGTTGACTGGTTGGGTACAAAGCATGGTTAATACTGCATGGGAAGCTGGTTCCTGGTGCCTTGAAAGAGACAGTGGTGCTGTCACTCCTAAAGAAACAGTCCCTTGGACTGGAATAACTACCAACCAGTCAAGACTATCTCCCTTTGGGGGAAGGTGATGGGAGACAGCTGCAAGCAATCTTTGATGACATTGATTTAGATCTGTTGGGTTGCCCTTGGTTGCTTTGATGAATGACCAGGGCATGAGGAGTGTGACCTTGCTTATTGATCTCTTCGCAGCTTTTGTTACCGTTGACCATGGTACTCTTCTGAACCAGCCCTGTGGAATGAAAATTGGGAGCACTGTGTAGGTTCCGGCCATATCTACAAGACGAAGTCCAGAGAGTAGCCTGCCTAAAATATTTACATTTAGGCAAGCATATCCAAACACATGTGGGACGCAGGTGGCGCTGTGGTCTAAACCATTGAGCCTCGGACTTGCCAATCAGGAGGTTGGTGGTTCGAATCCCCATGATGGGGTGAGCTCCCGTTGCTCGGTCTCAGCTCCTGCCAACCTAGCAGTTTGAAAGCACCCCAAAAAGTGCAAGTAGATAAATAGGTACCGCTCCGGTGGGAAGGTAAACGGCGTTTCCGTGCACTGCTCTGGTTTCGGTGTTCCGTTGCGCCAGAAGCGGCTTAATCATGGTGGCCACATGACCCGGAAAAAACTGTCTGCAGAGCAGACAAATGCTGGCTCCCTCAGCCTGTAAAGCGAGATGAGCGCCGCAACCCCAGAGTCATTTGCAACTGGACTTAACTTCTCAGGGGTCCTTTACCTTTTTATCCAAACATAGATGTTGGCATCTTTTATTCCTTCTTACTGTTACCTTTAAATGTTTTTAATTCCCTTTAACTGTTTTCTTTGCCAATTTTAACAATCCTTACAAACAACTTACAGGTATATAAATTTTGCTAAATAAATATGCTAATCCCTGTGTAAAAACTGCCCCTCTTTGTTCTGGGCATGTTGACCATTCAGCCTGGTGAAGCCATCTTCATCAGCACCACTCACTTAATCTGAGAACAGTTTGGGTGGCTTCAGAGAACAATGCGATTCCCATGAGGATTGCAATTTATCACATGATAAGATGCTCATTTCATCACATGATGCAGTGAGGGGGAAGAAAGCTCAGAAGCGCAAGAGAGATAAACACTTTGTCCACAGGTTAGCAGATTATTTGATCCACCCTGTTATCTGTTGTTTCGATTACTCTACAAAGTTTCTGTGCAGCTGATTGAGAAACCAGCTGATTATCATCTCCCTAGAACAGTTCTCTGCTTGGCATTGCTGCACTGAAGGTTAACTGGTGACATTCTAAAGCAGTGATGGGAAAATATATGGACTCCTATCTACCCCAGCCAACATGGCCAATAGTCATGGATTATCAGAACTGCAGCCAAGCAGTAGATGGAGTGCCACAAACTTCCCATCCCTGTTTTAAGGCAGCCTTTAGCACCTCTGGGCATGCTGGCTGGGCGGAGGTGAGTTGTTGTCCAAAACATCTGCAGGGCAGTAGGTGGGGGAAAGCTGTTCAAAGCAATTATTGCTCCATGTACTGTATCCTAAAACACTTCAGCCATTGCTTAGGCCTTAGGTCTTGGGTGAGATCTGGCACAGACGGTGGATTCAAATGCTCCGACCGTCAGCTCTGCTCACTGCAGGCAGAAGCCAACACCTTAATAAGATAATTCCTTCGTTTTCCAAATTCAGAATCCCCAAGGCCCTATAAAGCAGATCCTCTTGGAAGAGTGAAATGTGTTTCCTGGCACAGCAGCTACCATCTCCTCGTGCTAGGGGGAATTAGGGAGTGACCATAGGAACTCAAATCCCCCTCCTAGTTTCTCCTAGAGATAATTGCCCTAGTGCCAAATAACAGTTGGCATTAGCTTACACTTTCTAAAAAGAAAATACTTCCCTGGTTGCAATAAATTCCCCAGGAGAAGCAGCCATTGCATTTGGTCTCGAGTCTGGAGGTTCAGACAGGCGAAGTGCTTGGGGAGACACACAAATCTTTCTATTATTCATTAATAAAAAGGTAAAGGTAAAGGTACCCCTGCCCGTATGGGCCAGTCGTGTCCGACTCTAGGGTTGTGCGCCCATCTCACTTAAGAGGCCGGGGGCCAGCGCTGTCCGGAGACACTTCCGGGTCATGTGGCCAGTGTGACGAAGCTGCTCTGGCGAGCGCGAGCCAGCGCAGCACACGGAACGCCGTTTACCTTCCCGCTAGAAAGCGGTCCCTATTTATCTACTTGCACCCAGGGGTGCTTTCGAACTGCTAGGTGGGCAGGAGCTGGGACCGAAAGACGGGAGCTCACCCCGCCGCGGGGATTCAAACCGCCGACCATGCGATCGGCAAGCCCTAGGCGCTGAGGTTTTACCCACAGCGCCACCCGCGTCCCATATTATTCATTAATACTTTTAGTTAATTGCCTTAAAGCCCTCAAAACTTCTCAAGACGACTTATAGTAGAAGAGAGGAGAATTGCTCATATTAAAAACGACTTTAAAAACATGAAACACTAAAAATTATAGAAGACGATCTACCTCCCAAAATCAAGCCCCCACCCTCCCTCTCCAACAACATTAAAATGATCACCACAATCAGCTGGCTGAAATATCACAAAACCGCAAAAAAAGAAAATTAACAATAAAATGCCCAGGAGAAGAGGCGTCCTTGCCTGGCACCAAAATATATTATTAAAGACAAGCCTTCTTGGGGAGACTGCTCCATAAATGATGCATAAAGCACACTGCAATATTGTTGTTGCATTATTATTATTTTTAAAAAAATATTATTTACCATTTTTCAAACTCAGGTTTTCTCGAATTTCCTCATGATCACATGGGTGAGTGAAGTCAAAAATGCTGTGTCCGGTCAGCTCCACCTGTTTGACCATCAAGACAAACAGATTAAAAAATGGGATTGCGAAAATGAATTTACGCTGGGAACGTATTCTGGATCCCCTTGTTCCCAAAATGCACCACAGGACAAGAAACTTTGAGAAGTGTTTTACAGAGATGGGTTATATAGCAGCTGACTGTTCATTGTAAATTCACACTCTAGCCGTTTTTGTACTTGTATTATGTATTAAGTATTTATATTTCCTTCCCACTCTGTTCTATGGCCTGATGGTAGTGACAGCAATAAACTTTTATCATTTTATTAGCGATGTTTATTTAAAGCACCTGCAAGTCACATTATTATTATTATTATTATTATTATTATTATTATTATTATTATTATTATTATTATTATTATTATCATCCATAGATAACAAAAAGTTATAAATATTTGTTATACTTTGTCACAATCTTCTTAAGGTTCCGACGACTTCCCACCAACTCCTTATGTCTTTATATGTTCTTTTACTTATTTGTCTCAGATTTTGTTGTTAATTTTCAGAAATATTGTACTTTCTTATACAAATCCAATATATCATAGAAGTTAATCGAAGGCTGCCACAGACATCATGCTATTATAACAGTCTTTAAGGTACTTTTTATATATACCCCATTTCTTAATAAACGTTTGGTCTGTATGGTCTCTCATTTCCCCCCGTTAATTTAGCCAGCTCTGCATATTCCATTCATTTATGTTGCCATTCCATCTTTGATGGTATTTTCCCACCCTTCCAGTTTGAAGCTATTAAGATTTTCACAGCCACTGTGGCATGTAAGAATATTTCCCTTGCATTCTTGGGTATTAAAAGCAACCATGGAGCTGCAACCTGCTGAGCAAGCGAATAGGCCTATCTGCATATTCCATGTTTCACTTGTGCACATTTAAATCTCCTCTTGGGTCCCTCTGACCTTAACCCTGGCCTCTTCAGGACTAAAAAACCCTTGCAGCCACTCTAATCCCAGAATAGCAAAGGCACCATCATTCTCTTCCTTAGAGTACTTGCAAGAAGCTTTTGCTAAGCCACATTTAACAAACTAGCTCTACGAAGTAGAGGAAGAAGCAAAGTTTAATAATAATAATAATAATAATAATAATAATAATAATAATAATAATAATAAATTTTATTTATATCCCACCCTCCCCAGCCGAAGCTGGGCTCAGGGCGGCTAACAACAATAAAACAGTACAACAGTACAACACAACACAACACTCTAAAATCATTCTTTATAAAATTAATTCAAATTAAACCACTGGCAACCATTGGGCCAGAGCTCCGCGAAGATTGCCGAAGGAGGGAGTCAGGCTGTGCCCTGGCCAAAGGCCTGGTGGAACAGCTCTGTCTTGCAGGCCCTGCGGAAGGATGTCAAGTCCCGCAGTATGGTGGTTTATACCATAAACCACCCTGAAGGGCAATATACAAGCTTAATAAATAAGCATCACAGTATCATCCAACCTGCTACGTGAGATGCGTAGAAAACAGCTCACCTGTGTCAAGCCCATATACTTGCTGATGTTCTCCGACAAAAAGATCATGTCTCCATCCTGTGTGATGACAGTGATAAATCCCTCCAAAGCTTTCAGGTACAAGTTGTCCATCTGCTGGTCAGGCTCTATTTTACTCTCATTGTCACCACAGACTGCACAAAGAAGTGGGGAGCGGAGGGGGAGGACCAAAATGAAGAGACAAAAAAATAAAAATAAATCAGAAATGATGCTTAGCAGTATGCTAGCAAATCCCAACCAAAATCCGTATCTGATATAAAGTTCATGGCTTTGCTTTCACTGGATATCTATACAGTTCAACAGCATTAGAAAAAAGTTACAATAATTATAATATTGTGGCAGTTCAGGCAACAAAGCTACAATCTTATTTGACATTGGGAACCCATAAAGTGGCCTTATATTGAGTCCGACTGTTAGCCCATGTAGTGCTGCATAGCCTACACACTGGCTGACACCAATTTCACAGAATTGTAGAGTTGGAAGGGACCCTGAGGGTCATCTATCCCAACCCCCTTCAATGCAGGGGTCTCAGCTAAAGCACCCACGACAGATGGCCCTCCAACCTCTACTTAAAAACCTCCAAGCCAGGAGAGTCCATAACCTCCCAAGGGAGACCGTTCCACTGTCAAACAGCTCTTACTGTCAAAAAGTTCTTCCTGATATTTAGTCAGAAACTCCTTTCTTGTAACTTGAAAGTACTGGTTTGAGTCCTGCCCTCCAGAGCAGGAGAAAACAAGCCTGCTCCATCTTCCATGTGACACAGCCCTTCAGATATTTGAAGATGGCTATCATATCTCCTCTCAGTCTTCTCTTTTCCAGGCTAAACATGCCCAGCTTCTTCAACCGTTCCTCATAAGGCTTGGCTTCCAGACCCTTGACCACCCTAGTTGCCTTCCTCTACTCTACACACGTTCCATCTTGTTATTATCCTTCTTAAATTGTGGTGCCCAGATCTGGATGTAGTACTCCAGGTGTGGTCTGACCAAGGCAGAATAGAGTGGTACTATTACTTCCCTTGACCAGGACGCTATACTTCTGTTGATGCAGCCTAGAATAGCGTCCGCTCTTTTTTTTGCTACTGCATCACACTTTGGACTCATGTTAAGTTTGTGTTCCACTAAGACCTCTACAGTGGTACCTCAGTTTAAGAACAGTCCTGTTTACAAATGATTTGGTTTACAAGCTCTGGAAAACCAGAAGTAGTGTTCCGGTTTGCGAACTTTACCACGGTCTACAAATGGAAACCGAATGGCGGAAGGGCATTGGCGGCGGGAGGCCTCATTAGGGAAAGTGCGCCTCGGTTTAAGAACGGATTTGGTTTAAGAACGGACTTCAGGAACGGATTAAGTACATAAACTGAGGTACCACTGTAGATCATTTTCACATGTACTACTAGGAAGCCAGGTGTTTCCCCATCTTATATTTGTGCATCCTGCCGAAGTGCAGAACCTTACATTTATCCCGATGGAAATTTGTTAGTTTGGGCCCAGTTCTCCAATCTGTTAAGGTCATAGTGAATCCCGATTCTGTCTTCAGCGGCATTAGCTTCCCTTCCCAGTTTGGTGTCATCCGCAAATTTCAGCAGGGCTTTCAGAGGAAAGTCTTTACCAGTCCTTCCTAGATATCCCAGGAACTGAACATGGGACCCTTTGCCACTTACCTACTATAGCCCTTACTCACTGAACTCAATTGGGACCTCCTTCCCATAAACAAACAGAAAAAATGCTGGAGTTATAGAAATTTGCCATCACCCCAGTCTTACTAGGAAATGCATGTGTAACCAGGCATATTTACACATGCATCCTTAGCTGAATAAGGAACTCCATGCAGATGCAGTCACTGCTTGATCTAACTACTGGAGCTGCACATGCTTCGTTAGGAAATCAGCAATTAGCATTAATAGGGGAGGAAGAAAGGGGTGCGACTTCATTTCCCCTACAACAAAACCCTCCCGGAAAGCTATCTGACCAGGGCTGGACACGAGCAGTCATTCTGCCTGCTTCTATACAATAACATAAAAATAAAGAAATAAGATGCTTATGAGAGGCTCACAAGTAGGTCATGAGTGCAATTGTACTCTCCTGCCTGAGATGGAGGATGAGGCTTTAAGTGATGACTAGTCATGTTCTGTCTCGGATGCAATAATGTATCAGCTACCAGAAACCGCAGGAGGGAAGAGGGTTGCTGCACTCAGGTTCTGCTGGCAAGCTTCTCATGGACATCTGCTTGGCTACTATGAGAGCAGGCTACTGGTGTAAATGGGCCACTGGCCTGATCTTCTCATGTTCTTGTGTGATCCCAAGCAAATGGTATACAGAGGCTGGTACTGTCTCTGATACTGAAGATAATATAGGCGTCGTGACGATAAGGCAACTGGTAGCCTTATTGTGCATGAATTTGCCTAACCCTCTTTTAAAGCCGTCCAGGTTGGCAACCAAAGCCTGGACAGCAGGCTAGGTTGGCTGATCACTTGCTCACAGTCTTTTCCACTATGGCGAAATGGACCCTTTCTGAATTTCCGTATAAATTAAAATATGCACATTTCATGCAAGACGGTGTCCTCGGCTGTCCTCTTTTTTTTTTTTTTTGGTGTTGAGTTTCTGCTTTGGGATCGCTTCTCGGCCTTTTGGCTAAGATCAAGTGTAGTATGAGTTTCTGCTTTGGGGACGAGTATGTTAAGTAGCTAGCTTTCTTTATCGCAACAGGCAGTTCCACAGTTCAACTATTAAGAACCTCCAATTTGATGATTTCTACCAAGTGGCTGCAAGCCACTGAGTTAGGCTGGTTTTTGCTTCCCAATGATAATTTCGGTCTTGCAACAACAACAACAATTTTGTTTTGCAGCTGTATTTTTATTTTTTTTATTCATTGAAATGCTGGGTCCTACCTACTGTTAAATGCCAATCAGTCTCCTGACTCTTAACACTCAATGAGAATTATTCGCCATGGATAGGAAGAGATTCCTTGCAGTAGGTAATGTTGGAACGAATTGAGGTTGTGATTTAGAGAGCCACATGATTATTTAGCAAGCACCCAGCAGGTCTTTCGATTTGTGTTTAGGGAACAGCCGCCTTTGTGTGCAATGCAGCCATCTGATTTTGAAGTGGGGTGGGAGGGGGTGGGGAGACAAAAAGGTTATGTTGGGTGTGTCCAGGACTTTGAAGAACCAAAAGTACCTCTCTCTGGATTGTGGTCAATCTGTCTATGCCTAGCAGCCTTTTCTGATGCAACCAAAGCGCTGAGAAAGTAATTGGATTGTCAGCATACTCTGGGGGCTGGTAAAGGTAGAACAGTGTCCGCCAACCTGGTGCCTTCCATGAAGGCAGAGGCTCATGGGAGCTGTGGTCCAAAACATCTGGAGGATACTCAGTTGGCGAAGGCGGATGTAAAATATAAGAACAGCTCTTCCCATTGATAGTGCAACATAAGCACTCTCACAATACGTTCTACAGAGGCAGTATGCCTCTCTGAATACCATTTGGTGGGAATCACCAATGGAGGAAAGTGTTCTTAGTGTTGGCCATTGTGAGAACAGATTGCTAGATCACATGGATATTTCAACCTGCTCTAGTTGGGCCTGTTTTGTTTTCCTAACTAGCAAACTATATTTTGTAGTTAACTGGGGCTCTGAATCAGAATTTCAATATGTGGCTGGCAGTCCTGGTTTGTACAGAAGGTACAAACCAAGGTTTGTTGGAATGATATGTAACAGTAAACTGTGTTTTGCAACTATCACCACTCGGTGGTGGGGATTGGGGAGTTCCTTTCAGTTTTAATGACAAATTTGCATTTAAAAAAAACCTCCCAAATTTGTACTTCTTGCAACAACACACAAATACTGCTATCCTTTTGGAATTCACACATCTCCGAATTTTGAAATGCAGTTCTCAAACCAAAGGATATGTGAACAAACATGCATATATTAGTGGAAAGTCTACATAGAACCGTTTGTATTGGTGAAAATAATGTACAAAAATGCATTATGTTCTGGAAAATGGTTTGCCAAAATGTGTATATTAAGGAAAATAGCATGTTGCATATAAAAATGTCTATATTAGGAAAAATACACACCAAATACTGACAAATGTTCATGAGGACTTTTTAAAATAATTGCAAACTGTTGGAGAAATGAACTGAAAAAGAAGAAACTTACAAAAGCCACATTTTCCAGATTCAGCCATTACTACCTGGTCGTATAAACAGTAGCAGAAAAGGAGTTTACACTGGTGCATGGGCCAAAACTGATGACTGCTATAGAGTAAGTATCTGCTGCTAAAGTCAATAGGAAAGATACCAATACATGTATTGCTCTGCTACTTTTAAGGCAGTCAGTGTTTAGCCAAAACAAACTCTTTACAGAGCAAAGGTCACATAACACAGCAAGTTGCATGATAAGTATGACCTTTCCACTACTCTAGGTCCCAACCCTGTTTAGACTTGTAGTCTAAAAGCAACGCTGGTCAAATGCAAGAAGTCTATTCAAGTCCTTTTGTTCTGTTTACTTTTGCATATAGATTTGCTCAGAAAAGCTCTTCAGCCAGGGACTCAAGTAAAGATTGCTGGGGTGATGGGCCTCAGTTGCATCAGATATGTGCTGAAGCAACTGCCCTGTACCATAGCTTGGTACTGCTCCTAAACACTGCTAGCTGAATAATAATAATAATAATAATAATAATAATAATATGGATGTTGGTGATCTGACATTAAGTAGAGCGCATTGCAGTAGTCCAAGCGGGAGATAACTAGAGCATGCACCACTCTGGCGAGACAGTCTGCAGGCAGGTAGGGTTTCAGCCTGCGTACCAGATGGAGCAGGTAAACAGCTGCCCTGGACACAGAATTGACCTGCACCTCCATGGACAGCTGTGAGTCCAAAATGACTCCCAGGCTGTGCACCTGCTCCTTCAGGGGCACAGTTACCCCATTCAGGACCAGGGAGTCCTCCACACCAGCTTGTCCCCTGTCCCCCAAGAACAGTACTTTTGTCTTGTCAGGATTCAACCTCAATCCGTTAGCCGCCATCCATCCTCCAACCGCCTCCAGACATTCACACAGGACCTTCACTGCCCTCACTGGTTCTGATTTAAGAGAGAGGTAGAGCTAGGTATCATCTGTTTTACTGTATAATGGAGTG